TAAATCCTTGTACTGTCAATGATGTGAAAAAATCTGATTCTATGATCATTGGAACACCACAAAAGTCAAGTACTTCAATTGATTCTGCTACAATAACTGTGAAATCTGAAACAAATGATATAGAAGTTCCTAATATAGACAATAAGTTAAATGATGTGAAAATGCAATTAGATGTATCCGTTGTTAAATCTGAGCCTAATGATGAGATTACTGGACAGTCAATATCATTTATGACAAATAATAATACACTTACATCTAGTTGTAACAGTAATATGACACAATTGGAACAGATACAATTTTCTGTTTGTCATGATCATGATTATATAAATAATTATATATCTAATGAAACTAATTTATTTGTAGAGAATAATATAACTATAGAACATTTACCTGAGATTAATCCAATTAAGAAATCCATAAATTCAATGGTAGAACTATCTGGAAATAATACAAATTCAATAAAAGAATGTTTTAATAATTGGCAATGCACATCTAGTGCAAATACAGAGAAATCTGCTGAAATCAATACTAGCGTAAATAAGGAACATAATATTGAAAAAGATATAAGTGATGAAAATGATAAATATACAAAAGTTGGATCATCGTCATTATGGGTTAAAAATAACAGTAAACTCTTGTCTTCTTTAGAAAGCATTGACTCCAAGACGGATTTAATGAGGAAGGAAGAGGTATGTTCTGAAGAAGTTATCCAAAAAGAACATTTTGGAAATAATATAAATGAGTCAAATAAAAGTACTTCATGTCCAATAAATTTTAAATCAAATTTGCGTCCATTACAAATTTCAATACCTCCTTCGTTTGAACCAGCTGCAGGCAAGCATATGTTAATTTTACAAAATAATAAACGTACTTCAATGGAAGCAAATAATATATGTCCTTCTAAAATGAACATTGTCAAATATGCAAAAAATCATTGCAAAATTGATACAAACAATTGTTTGAGTTATGTTAATTCAAAGACAAGTATACTTATTCCTAGGGGAACTAGTCTCTTGAAAAAACAAACAAAACAAACGGGGAAACCAACTACAAATAATAAAAATGATAATACATATGCAATATTGGAGATTAAACCATCAAATAGTCTCTTGTTAAATTTGAATTCTGATGTACCGGCATTAAAAATAGCAGATAATGCTTCTAACAATACGAAAAATTCGTATAATACAAATTCTTCACATTTAGAAATATCAACATTACAAAAAGATCAAACACTTCCAAAATCAATTAATCATAATGGTAAAATAGGAAAATCAAGAATCATTTTGGGTAAAGATAAATTGAAGCTTCATAGTAAAGAAGATTTATATGACAAAGTTCTTAAATCGATAGAGATTGTAAAAATTACAGATATAGAAGGTTTATTACGATTTATTATACGTAGGATACCTATTGTCACTCCATATGCATCTGATCCAGATTACAAACGTTTACATCCTTATGCTTGTGCGACAGAGGAAGAATATTTTAATCATAATATGGGTAAACGTGCAGCTTATGAATGGTGGCGAGCAAAAACAATACGATCATTTTTACGTAAAAAACTTACTGCGGAAGATAAATTGTGGTCAGTGAAAGAGATAATACTTTGGGCAAGATTGTATGGATATACACCAACACGTTCTTGTTTTGGTATAGATGCAACAACAACAATGAATGGAGCAAAAAGATTACCATGTACAGAGATTTCAGCAACAACATCAACGTGTACAGAACCAATAGCATTTCAAAAGTGGCTTCAAACGTCTTATGATATATCAAAGAATTTAACAACAGATAACGATGATTCTCAAGAAGAAGACATCGACATACTAACTTGTCAGAATCCTGAAAATAATAAAACAACGCAACAAAATTGTTTTAAATTTGATTGTAATAATGAAATAACAACATCTAGAACTATATCCCTTGATCTAGAAGAAAAATTATTACCACTGCATAATTTTATTTGCGAGACAACTAGAAGCATTGGCATTACATTAAAACCGGAGGAAATTGTTCCTAATGTGTTTCATTGCACTGCAAGTCGTGTTATGATAAGGGTAAGATTAGTTAATATGTTAAATATGAAAAATTTTAATTTAAATTTTAAATATACGATATAAAATATATACTCTTTATCTCTTCAGGCCATGGAATGTTTTATAGAAGATATTGTAAGAACATCTTTAGCTAAAGCTTGGGAAAAGAGCAATGGCAAAGAGTAATAATATTTTACAATTATTATTATCTAACATAATATAATAATTAACTACTATAAAATCAGTGACATATATAATCATCACATATTAATTTTATTTACAGATGTCCACAAACTTTGTCGTTGGACGATGTTCGTTCCGCTTTAACAAGTCGAGAAGAGTTCGATATTTTTACAAATGAGGGTTTGGGTTCGCGGTATCAACTTACTACAGAGGACTAGTTAATATTCTCATTTGTTCCAGATATATAGAATTATAAAAGAAGTGTAAAAAAAAATAAGAATGTTTATATTTTGAGCATAATCATACATTGAGCAATAACATAGGATGGATATTAAGTATTTTCAGTATTACTAGTATTAATACTAGTACTTACGTTGCAGAAGTACAGAGATTTTTTAGAAAGCAAGGGTATATATATATATATATATATATATATATATATATATATATTTATATAACTTAATATTTAAACATTTTGAAAATGATATATCTCTGTACCGCTTTTTTTCCATGTACAAAAAATAATCGTTTTGATTTACCATTGTATACATTTACATAGGACTTCCATAGTTAAATTATCAATTTGTAAATTGTAGAATTTTTATATGATGGACACGTAGAAAAAAATTACGAAATTTGAACATTCTAGCATTTAATTTTGTTATTTTCATTTTTTACAAGTTTTTTTTTTTTTACTTAAAGGATAAATTGATTGGGGGCATGTAAATATTATCTATAACAACAAATTTCTATATATCTTATTTTAATTTAATCCTATATTGTATATCGATATGACATTTACTATATTTCATTTGTCATTCCTTTTTCTTTTTCATTTTTTTCTAATAGCAATGATTAAGTAGTCGGTGAAAGTTTGTTGCTAGACATAATATATTTAAATGAGATGAATCATGCGACTGAATTTGCATTCAAATAAGTCTGCCTTTTTCGTTATTGAGAGTAAGAAGTCTAAGGAAATAAAATTTGAGATTTAATAGATTATTCTTTGTTTTATTTTGATTTATAATAATTTCGTTTCATTTGGTATCATATTTTGGTATTTCTAATGTTTCATCTTTTTTACAAACGTGCATGCATTTATTACTATTGTAAAAATTTGTATAATCGCTGACAAGAGAATACTCGCACATAAATATTTCTTATTCTCTATTGATCCGATTTCTTATAAAAGGGAAAATGAAATCACGCATATTTATACATTTTAATAAAAAATATCTTCCTTCGTACTTATAATAACATTATTTTCTTTACACGAATAATATCCTTTAATTATAATTATTTCAGTTTTTTTATAAAACACTGTTGAATAATTAATGATAAAGTTTAAAAACAGAAAACCTGTAATTATATGTTCTTATGTATAGTATATGCGTATAGTCATTATTAGAACAATAAAAAGGATGTTGAATAGGAGATAAATTAGAGATAATTTGCAATGAAGATAATTGAAGCATCATTATAAAGTAAGATTATACTTATACTAACGATACTCTTACGTGAGGAGTATAGATCGTTTTATCTTCTCACGTCCTTGGTTATGTTGGTATCACTTTATTTTATTTTTTTTATCAATGCAATAGAATTATTTCTACATTATTATAGTTAAAGATTGTTGTAAAGATTTAAATTATTTTCTTTTTTATAGTTGGACATCCGCCAGTTGAATCTTATTTGAGATATTTACATGTGGTGTGTAATGTTAGAATAAGAAAGAAAATCGATAAAATTGAAAGTTTCTAAAATATAATATTTTTCCCCATTTGATTTTGATCAACTGACATATTCGAGTACGAAAGTAATGTAAATATATTATGATTTTTTATTAGAAAATTGTCGGAATGTTTTTTATTGAATATTTAATTTAATTTTTGATTATCGATTGATTTAAATCGTTACGGATGAGAGATGATCGATTACGTTGTCACGTGATCAAAGAAATGCGATATAAAACTGTATCGAACGTTTTAAAAACAAATTCAAATTCTTATTAATTCTAATAATAAAAGAATTTTGTCATCCGTAGACACCAAAATAAAGAGCTAATAAACTTACGAAACACGCTGTAGAGAGGAAGGATCTGTGCTTATGTATATGAAGATAGGAATCGGAAACGGAATCCGAGGTTACGTGTCCGAGATTCCGCGGGATATATAGGGTGAAGACGAACGATCTATGACGTCAGAGATAAACGCGAAGGAACGTGAAATGGTTTCGTCGTATTCCGAAGCTCGAGCTTTCCAAAAGAACATGTCTTTTTTCTTTTTTACAGGGGTAAAAAAAAGAAAAAAGTAAAAAAAAAAAAGACAAGAAAAATGTGAGAAAAAAAATTTTGCACCTTTTTTTACGTTAATCTATAAGTAGGCACATCGTTGTTTCGTAGTTTGTACGCCTTGTTTTTTTTTTTTTTTTTTTTTTTTAATAAAGTAGATAAGCTTGAGATAAATGAAGGGGAAAAAAAAAGACAATAATTAACGACAAAAGTAAGTAATATTTTCGTTTTCATTCATTCGACAAATATGCGCATTTATTTTTTCACTTGCATACGAATAAACATTGATACATATATCGTCCTTTCAAATAAAAGATAACGGGTGAGGGGAGAAACTTTCATCCCTTTTGAGTATTTCTTTCTTTGGTGAGAATGAAAGAATAATATTAATAATGAATGTACGTGAATGCATATACGAGGGGAGTTCTCGCGCGCTTCTCAATATTGTGGCAAGGTTTACTACACAGCGAGTAGGGTGAGGGAGAAAGTCGATTGGTCCTAGTTGGAGTTGGCGCGTGCGATGAAAGGGAGAGAGAGAGAGAGAGAAAGAGAGAAAGAGAGAGAGAGAAAAGGAAAGAGGGAAGAGAGTGGGGGGGGTCGAAGAAAGGCTAAGCGTGGTGCACAATATATATCGAATGAACGAGAGAGGAAAAATCAGTGTATGAGCATCCCCTCCACCAGGATATTTCGCGCTTGTCGTTCGCCACACTAAGGTCCAGTCAGTAAACGTTCAACGTCGTGGGTGGATGTACATATGTACGTGGTGTGAATGATGCTGGTGGTTGTTGGTCGTTATATATGTATGTATGTCATCTCTTAGAAAATAATTCGTGGTTTCCCTTCCTTTTTCTTCTTCTTCTTATCAAGAAGGAACGACAATAATTATTCGACGGTAATTCGTTAAGTTAAATTTGGTCAATTCGCTGTCGTAGTCGTACGACCATAGACATTTCTTTTGGAAGGTTGCTTGGTTATATTTCGAGCGGAGAAACGCGAGGCGGAATATTCGTGCGTGCTCGGAATTCGTTTCCCTTGGCCCGCAGGCGGCGGCGGCGGCGGTGGCGACGGCGGCGGTAGCGGTGGCGGTGGCGGCGTACGTGCGAGTTTCTGCGGCCAATATCGAGGATAAATAGGGAAAGAAGAAACGAGGAAAGAGAAAAGGAACGGAAGAAAGGGGAGGAAGAAGGAAAAGGAAAAAAGATAAGAGAGGGTTGCCACGATAAAACGTTGCCAGTTTGATCGGCATGCGCCTGCATTCTTTTTATGGCACGATGATCGTCTTGGCGATGATGTTGTCCTGTCGTACATCTTACGCTCAGGACGAAATCATCCTTCGAAGTCTCACTGCGATGGAGACTTGTAACATCACAGCCGATGGACGAGGATTCATATGTCGCGGACCAGATTTTTTATCAGCTTTAAAGAGCCGGTCCTTCGAAAGCATCGTTCTTCGATCGCCGGCCAATATTACTAAACTGCAAGTATCATAAATAAAAAAGATGCATCTTTTAATTGTATCCAATTACAGGACGAAAGTCGCGTGTCAACTGTCACGTTCTGTCTTGTCATTTTTATTATCGTCGCGTTAGTAATAGTAGTAGAATAGTGTAATAGTAGTAGTAGTAACAGTAATAGTAGTAGCAATAGTAGTAGTAGAGTAGTATAGTAGTAGTATTAGTAGTGGTAGTTGTCGCCCTTCGAAGCGCGCCTTCTTGAAGTATGCTCGTATTTTCTCTCTTTCTCTTTCTCTTTCTCTTTCTTTCTCTCTCTCTCTCTCTCTTTTTCTCTGTCTTTTTTTCTGGCTTTTTTCTCGAAGACGCGAATACACGACGCCAAGAGGAATGCAATCTCTCGTAATTTCATTTTTTAACCGAAATGTCGAACGATTCTAGGCGTGCCGTCGTCTATATCTACTTGTAATTCTAACAGGGTTAATTTTCTTGTTTTGTTTAGTTTTTTCTGTTTTTCTTTTTGATATCACATCAAACTATTTATCGAATCGAAGATCATGACAAGAATATTAGTTGATTTTCTATCAAGAGAGACGAATCGTTTGAAAAATATTAACGATGTTTGATTTCAAATATTGCGCGCTTAGGAATTAAATGGCGAAGTAAATTTAAGGTAGTAAAATTAATACTTTTATAGTAATAAAATTAATGTTTTTACATGATAATTTTTAAATTGTATTGAATTTTTTCTAAAAGAAAATATACATATTCATTCATTATTATTACTTTATAATACATAAGATTTACATTGTGCATTGAGAAATAATTTGAGAACAACGTTGTCATATTATATTCATAAAGTTTTGGCGAATAATTTTTTTTTCTTTTTCTTTACTCAAGCTATTAAAAGTTTCTCTGAAAGAGATCTAGAAGTTATGACTGTCGAAACTGAAATTTCTACCAGTCAGTATTTTAGGAGTGTCGAAACTGTTACTCTTTATGTTGCTCGCGTTGTACGAATTATGGTACTGAACGAAAGTATGCTTGGAATGAGAGAACGTTCGTTCGAGTAGACGTGTATGTGATTCTGACAATGAACGATGAAGAGAGAACGATAAGATCGGTTTATTCGAAATGCACTCTTTACTATAAAATTAGTATGTGGCTACATTTATATTTTCATATAATCGAAAATCTTAATTTCAACATATAATTCTATTTTTATGTCAGACTAAGTGAATGCGTTGTTTCCTCTAGGATCTAACGTCAATAAATATTAAGTTATCGATCATTATGGAACTGTCGTCGAATAAACTTTCTATGTATGTATATATATTTTCTCAAATATCTCTCTCTCTCTCTCTCTCTCTCTCTCTCTCTCTCTCTCTCTCTCTCTCTCTCTCTCTGTTTCTCTCTGTAAAACTTAAAATATTTGATTATCTACGAGAGAAGAGATGCACACACTCCGTTCGAACTTTTTCTTAGATATGTTTTCGCTTAGAGAAAACGAGTCGAAGAAAATGATTCATGCGAGACCGATGTCGGTCGATCGGTGAGAAATATTTCAGCGCGAGGTCACGGCCGTACTTGACGAATGTGACACTTCAACGTAACCTACCTATACCTGCTCATGTTTCTTTCATTCTGCTCAAATTAATTAATTTCAATGATGCTACAATCTTAAGGACTCCTTTCTTTCTTTTCGAAATAATTCTTTTTAAATTTGACGAAAGGAAGAGAGAGAGAGAGAGAGATATATAGAGAGAAAGAAAGAAAAAGAAAGAGAGATAGATAGATAGAGAGAGAGAGAGAGAGATATATAGAGAGAAAGAGAGAAAAAGAAAGAGAGATAGATAGATAGAGAGAGAGAGAGAGAGAAAGAGAGAAGACAAATTAAGGACCTATTTGACTCGCGTAGTACGTAGACAAAAATCCAAAATAATATACAATTTGAATTTTTCACATTTTCAAAAATATTATTTTTGTAACTTTGACGAGAAAGAAAGAAAGATAGATAGATAGATACATAGATTGATAGATACATAGATAAAGAGAGAGAAACAGAGAGAGAGAGAGAGAGAGAGAGAGTATAAATTTTAGGACTCCATTTAATTCATATAACACGTAGGCAAAAATTCGAATTAATATATAGCTTGAATTTTATTTATTTAAAAGAATATATAAAGAATCGTTTATATATATACATATAAAGTTATATATTCTTGAGGTTACTTTATTATGTTCTTTTCATTTCTCTTCTTCTTTTTTCCAAAGTTATCTTTCGAGTGCGGGCGACAATTCCGCGAGCACTCTGCAGATTTAGATTCCAGCAATATTACGGGCTCTAACAGAAAGGTTGCTTGGGTTAGAATTATTTATATCGTTCTTATATCCGTATAACTTTTAGATGTTAGAAGTATGGATATCTTTTGTATGCTCGATTAGATTATACAATATTTATATTTGGAGATAGTAATATTTTTCTAAGTAGACAGAGGAAACATTATTTCGCGTGTCTATTTGAAATAAATTAATATTAACAGGAAACATATTATATATATATATACGCAATTATTAATAAATATTAGATTAATATAAATAAAATTTTATAATATTTATATATTTATTTTTTTTTTTTAATTTATTTCAGTGACTTGACGAACAACAATATAACGCGTGTTTCGGAGCACGTTTTTCATCAACTTCCTAATCTTGAATTTTTGTGAGTAGATATATATATGTATATATACACTTTTAATCAATAAAATGTTCTCTTATTAATATGACTTATTTGATTTTTAATTATACAAAATGTTGTAATAATGAATTAATGATTATTTGTAAAATTTTTCAAGGTCGTTACGACGTAATCATCTATATACAATTCACGAAGATGCATTTGAAAATTTGACGAGTCTTCGAATACTGTGAGTACCTAAATTTTGTCGGTATTATACTTAGATTTTTTTTGTTATTAATATTAATATTTTTCAGAGAACTCGATGACAATTATTTAACAGAAATTCCAATTGCTCTTATAAAACTTGATGCACTCGAAGATTTGTAAGTTTTCTTTCTTTTTTTTTCTTTTTATAAAATTTATGCTCTGAATATCGCGTCGTACTACTTACATAATCAAAAATAGTTTTTATTCTAATTTCTCACAGATCCATTTCCAACAACAAAGTACAACAACTCGACGGAAATATATTTCAAAGTATTGACAATTTGATATCACTCGATTTACGTGGAAATCCGATCAAACAGATAAACGATAATACTTTTCAAAATCTTCATAAACTTCGTAAGTTGTAAGTATATGTATTTTTTGCGCGAAATGAATATCATCCAACTTTTTCGGTGAATTTTATTTAATCGTATATAAGAAAGGAAGATTTTGAATAATTTAAAAACAAATGTTACATTGAATACGACGAAAAATATGTTACAGGATACTGTCTGATGTAAAAGAAATGAGAATTTTTCCCAATCTCAATGGAACGAGTTCTTTAGAGGTGTTGAAATTAGATCGTGCACGGCTTAAAGCAATCCCACCCGATCTTTGCGTTCAATGTCCAAAATTGAAAAGTTTGTAAGTTTTTCTACGATATCCATCATGAACTTAATTAACAATGCGTGAACAATTTCTTAACGAAAGTATTTTCGATCTCTTTTTGAATACGTGTTTGTATCGAAATTGAAATTGATTACTCTTACTAGACTGCTTGCGAAATGTAGGTCTCTCTGTTCATCTTATTGCACAATGACATAAGAGGAGACTAGCCACACGCACATATAATATATTTTCATTTCAGTGATGTGAAATCGAATTATTTGACAAAAATCCCAAATTTAAGAAATTGCCATAATCTTCGCGTCTTGTAAGTATGTGAGTTATATTTGCGTTTAAAATTTTACGTATTATATATTTATTATTTATCATCAATTTTATTTCATACAATATATACTTTAATCTTGTTTTAGAGATTTGGCAAACAATGCGATCTCGTTGATATCCGATGCACCCTTTAAAACTTTGAACATGTTACATGATCTTTTATTAGCAAATAATAATTTGAAAACTATTTCGAGAGATGCATTTTCTGGATTATCGAAACTTCAAGTTTTGTAAGTTATGTTCTCTTTAATGGTTTCAACATATTATAAATTTATAATTAAAATACATATAAATAGGAATGTAAATGTTGGTAAATACTGTTGACACGTTTCATGTATAGTTCTCTTTTAGGGATTTAGAAAGTAATTACATAGATTACATTGATCCTGGTGCATTTACAGAGACAAAACATTTGGAAGATTTGTAAGTATAAATAAAGTATAAAATTTCGAATAGGTTTCTATATATTATGCTAGTATATAAATTTTTCTCGATTTTTTTAGAAATCTTGGAAACAACGTGTTCCCAACTTTACCAGTTAACGGACTCGCAGGATTGTTACATCTAAAAACTTTTAATAATCCAGCGTTAAGACAATTTCCGTCACCCGACAAATTTCCACGCGTACAAACCATGGTTCTTTCCTACGCTTATCATTGCTGTTCATTTCTATCAATCGAGATAGAAGACACCGTAACAAAATCATCATTGCAAGAATCTGTTTTATTCCCTACGGATAATGAATTTGATATGACCTTGTGGAATTCCAGTTTTGGCGATGTTTGGCCTCATCTAAGTAAGTTATTAATATTATTTTTATTTTGTATTCGTGTAATATGTGAATGAAATAAGAATATGCTACCAGCTATGTTGAGAGAAAGATATTTTTAAGAATTTCGTTTTATTTATATTGTTTATATTTATATATATATTTGTATATATACACGTGCACATTATTTATATATGCTTACATGGAATCATTTGCGCGCCTGTATTGTCATATATCTAATGGAAATAAGAGCAGACTTTATAATTCACAGCCAACTGAATTACTACTAAGGTTGCATCTTGCATGATATAGAATAAAACATGAAAAAGGTAAGTTGCTTAATACATAACTCGTCAGGATTGTAAAACTAACACCAAGCTGATGTGAAATTCATAATTAATACAATTAACATATTTGATACATACATTTCACAGCTCTTGTTACACTTTGTGTACAGTACAAGAAATACCTCATTCAAGAAGTCTTGCATGCGTTAGATTGACAAACAGTCAAATCAGTACTATAGCAATTATACTTTTTAGATAATTTGAGCGATAAATTTGGGTCGCAACTAAACGAACTTTGGGATAACTTTGGTCCAGATTTTACATATTCCGGGAACGTACCTCCCTACAGCGAGGACTACATTGAGGAACAAATTGGGCAGAATGCAGTACCGGGACAAACAGTGCCTTCTCATGTTCAATGTTTACCACAGCCTGGTTGGTATTTTATTACATTCCTATCGTGAAGTATGACTTTTAATTTATAACAATCTTTCAGGTCCATTTTTGCCGTGTCAAGATCTGTTCGATTGGTGGACGTTACGCTGCGGAGTCTGGATAGTTTTTCTACTTGCTATGCTTGGGAACGGAACTGTAGTATTCGTGTTAATATTTTCGAGAAGCAAGATGGATGTACCTCGATTTTTAGTATGCAACTTGGCTGCAGCTGATTTTTTTATGGGTGTTTATTTAGGTGAGCGTCAAAAAAAAGAAAATATTTTCTCAATTTTAATAACAATAATAATAAATAGAAATAAGTCAAAGAGTGGAGCAATGTATCTGGTTTATAGAAAAAAAAAATGTTATAGGTTTATTGGCTGTGCTTGATGCATCTACTCTAGGAGAATTCAAAATGTATGCCATACCTTGGCAAATGTCGGCAGGATGTCAATTAGCAGGATTTCTTGGTGTCCTGAGTTCCGAATTAAGCGTCTATACCCTAGCTGTGATCACCTTAGAAAGAAATTATGCAATAACCCATGCGATGCATCTCAATAAAAGACTTTCGTTAAAGCATGCCGTGTATATCATGACTATAGGCTGGGGATTTGCCACATCAATGGCTACTCTACCGCTTTTCGGTATTTCCGATTACAGGAAATTTGCGATATGTTTACCATTTGAGACTAGTGGCATTGCAGCCTTAATTTACGTAGTCTTCCTAATGCTCATCAATGGAGTAGCATTTTTAATTTTAATGGGCTGTTATCTCAAAATGTACTGTGCAATACGTGGCTCGCAAGCTTGGAATTCGAACGATTCTCGTATCGCAAAACGAATGGCACTTCTTGTATTTACAGACTTTTTGTGTTGGTCACCGATAGCATTCTTCTCGCTTACCGCAGCTTTCGGGCTACAATTAGTGTCCTTAGAGCAAGCAAAGGTATTCGCTGTTTTCGTGTTACCATTGAACTCCTGTTGCAATCCTTTTCTCTATGCTATTCTTACGAAGCAATTCAAAAAGGACTGCATCTTAATATGTAAAGCTATTGAAGAATCTCGCGTGACAAGAGGAATCGGTAGATGCCGGCATAGTTCGAATTTCAGTAACCGCCAAACACCAGCCAATACGAATAGTCTAGTAGACAGATCTTCTAAGGAGCATCAAGCACCATGCGTCTGTACTTCGAAACTCTTGGAAACGAGCCAGTGCCCCAGTTATCGATGGTGGGGAGCTAGATTTCTTTGGCCTTGCGCGGCCGATCAAAGACAACGTTATACACGTAACGATCACTACGCTTACCAAATCGCCGAAATTCAACAGAAACAGCATAAACGTGCTTCGTCGGTTTCCTCTAGCGAGAACTTCTCTTCATCTCGTTCGGATTCCTGGAGACAAACTCATCATTGTGGTATACCGTTGAGATTATTGGATCCCAAACGAAGAACATCGTCTTGGTTGGTCACTAGGAAACCATCGCAAGATTCCAACCTTAGTTCATCCCGTAATGACTCATCGGGTTCAGCAGCTACCGCCAGCACCAGTACGTGGCGTATGTCAAGGTCAACAGCCTCTTTAGAAATCAGTGCACGTAATACTCCAAGGCCTATTAGGCCTAAGCCACGACTGACGCGACAACTTGCGATTCAAGAACCCGAACCACCTGCGTCACCGTGTAGATTAGCTGTACGTTTGTTGGCTACTATCCCTTCGGCTGCTGAGATGAGCGAACAGCAAGATGAAGAAAGTGCCGTACCTAAATAGAAATAAATTAAAGAAGGAACGATGCGAGACACGTTTCAGTATTAAGAATAAATAACGAGATACCTGCCATGTTTTTTATCCGAATTCATGAAATAGCGTACGATGCGTTTTCGATTTCTACGGGAATCGACGTTATCGCTAAGATTATTTGAAAATAATTAGGGATAGGATAAAGAGCTGATATGCATGCTATAAATTACGTATAGGTACGAGAAGGAGAGATGTGATTTTATTGAACTTATTGCCTTTATCCTATCACCAAATATTAGTATAAGCAAGCGTTGGTATACTATTACTTAAATAATATAGCACTTGTCAAATAATTCTAAAGATAGATAATTCAGTCAAATACCGTTTAATATGCTAACGGAGCAGACTGTAAAACCAATGTAGTTCCAATGCTCCTCGCGAGCATTTGTTATATAAAATATTTGTTATATAAATGATTTAAAATGTTAAAAAACAAAAAACGAATTTATATTAATGGCAATTATTCATGTTGTTAGTATTTTCATATTACAAGACTGATAGCAGTTTATTTACTACATAATATCAAGAGAAGCATTCCAACATGTACGAGCGCTAATAATTATTAGCGCAGTCTGGGCATGACAAAACAAAGTTTTATCAATTTCCAAATAATACATTTCTTAATTATATATAACAAAGTATTTATTCTATTCGTTCCTTTCATTTCTTTTTTTAAATAATTTCTCAGAGACATTAGAGCAATAATGATTAAGGTTTTATTTATATAATTTAACATCCCAGGCTGTGCTGTTTTTTTGTTTTTTTTTTAACAAAATATCACGATAAAGACAATATCACACTTAATGAAAATGTATGTTCTGTTGCTTCTTTTCGATACAATACATTATAAAAAACGTCTTATGTATAATAATATATTTATAATGTATTTATAACAATTCATTGAAAAAAAAAAATAATGCGAATGAAGTTACTGTATCACACATATACATACGTTCATATTGTTGTAAATGTATTTTTCAATTAATTACAACGATGAAGTCATGTACGGGATGTTAGGAAAAACACGGGAATATATAAATAAATGTTGTATATGTAATATCATTCATCCATCCTACGCGCTCTCGTCGATTAATTTCGTTCAGTATTAAAGCTTATGATGAATGAATATTATATATGATTTAAAGACTAACGAGATGTTAGTTGTACGCTAAATAAAGTTATGATAAAAGGAAGTATGTCATGTAACATCAATCGATAATTTATTGCATTGATGAAAGTGGATAAACTATTTCTATTAACGAAAAATAAAATAAACAATTTTATTCTTACGTATGGAGAGTGAAATGTTTAAGAGATTAATATTCATTATATAACAAGATTCTGAGATCAAAATAGTAAATTCGAAATTATTATATTCTAGTCAGATATTTACTAGACATCTTATGCACCAATAAAAACAAACTTTTCTTCTTCTTTTTTTTTCCTTTTTTTCATTATTCCACTAATTCAAGATAGTAATTATGATAAATTGTATCCTGCACATGACATAATTAATAATCTTATTTAACGAGAGCAAATACGTGTTCACATTACATTTGGAGGCTGCCATTCTTTTTAGGAATAATGATGAATTCACTAATAAACATGTTTTATTAATAATATAGAGAACAAAATGGGTGATAAGAATTTCGTACTATGATAGTATTGTAAGAATACAATTAACATTTATAAGGTGCCAATAAATTTATCTTCTACATGAAGTGTAGAAAAATATAGATCGATAACGAAAATAATTAATCCTTTTCTTGTTTCATAAAAGAACAAAATCCTCTCCATTTCTCCCTTTTAGATATTCGTTAAATAATCCCTTTTTTAAATACACGTACAGATTCTTCGATAGATTATTCAAACTTATAAATCATTTATAGATCACAATTTTAATTTTTTTTTGTTTTTTAGCTTAATAACATTTATTAACTCTATTAGTCACGAAATAATATATTTGAAATATATTTTCTTTAAATAATTGTATTAATACAGTTACGAATAAAATATTTCTAATATTCTAAAAACATCTTAAACATGAATTAGATATACAGATGATCGATTAATCATACATTGTGCGTCAAATTCGTGATGAATTTAGATATAGATGGTTCATTTCAAGCGTTATCATTTTTATCCGGATTGTCTAACATATACCGGAATGTCAGAAGTATATAAACCTATATGACGGAACAATGCGATACCTTATCTTGAAAAATGTTAGGTTTCTTAGTGCGAGCTACGTGCATTGTATACATTCCTTGTATAGGGTGCGACAACGTGTGAGATATATAATCTGTGTTAAGCCGATGAACTGGCGTCTGGGGTCAGCCATATATGATGGCTACTATAACTACTAAAATTATTATCACGTTAGATTTTTTGTCGTCTAGCAAGTAGAATCTAGCATGAAGAGTCCATTCAGTTATAACATATAATTTCATACAATTCCACATACATATATATAAGGATAATTATATTTGAAAGACATTGAAGCAATCGAAGAAATCATATATCCAAATTGATTAATCATCATTAATTTATTATCTCGAGATAATGTAGATAATAGAAAGATTACAGGTGAAATGTGTTTTATCTTATATTTTTTAATAGCAGCTGCTGTTTCTTCAACAGACCGCACAGTAAAAATGCATTTTACCGAGTATTTCGTTCAAGGTCTCATTTTGTGGATTATCTCTATTTTTTTCCTTTCAAAGGACAAGTGAAAAGGATCAAATAAAGTCTCTAGTCTCTCGCTTATTTTTTCTTTTTTATATCATGAAAAATGTGCTGATATGTTTCATCGCCTTTGGTTAAAAAATCATGATTCAATTTATGCTGTTATTGTTTAGTCGTATACCTTCGACCTAATAAGTAGAATATTCTTTTTTTTTTTCTAGCAAAAAATGTACGTTGTCTGATATTAACAGCGTGAAAAGAAAATCTTTCTCCATTTTTGTAGAAAAACTACGCCACCGAAAGCGACAAAAAAATAATAATAATAATGATAATAATAAATATTGATAATATTCGCATTGCAATTTTATATTTTCTATAAATTAAAAAAAACAAACGAAAAGATTGATTCAATGATATCAAAGAATGAAAGATATAATAAAGAAACAAAGACAATTTTTTTTAAATAATGAATATTTTCTAATTGTAATATCTATATTATTATTATTATTATGGTTATTATTATTATTATTATTAAATGTATTTTTAATAATGAGGCATTTAAATAAGAATTTAATCAGTTCGCATAGAAATTGGATCACGTAAATACGTTATGTACAAACATTTACACGTAAAGTAAACATTTAAAGAACTAAAAAAAAACATAACTCATCCGGAAATGTTACCCCAATTGAAGATATTCGGGGCTGTATTAGCAGGGTAAATTTTTTATCAGAAATATAATCGTAAAGAAGAGGAGTAGAAAAATGGGAAAAAGTTTAGTAGAATACCTGTTACTTCGGCAAAGGCAATCCTACCTGTTGCACATCATTCGAGATTCATGAAATAGCCGTAAGTGCTCCTGCATGGTTATACGTGCATAGACATATAACAGTTTAAATGAAGCATAAAGTATATGGGGGGATGACATTCTCCTTGTCATTTCTCCTTGGCCGGGTATCCATGTTAGACCCCCGATGATTATTATTTGCCAAGAGTCATAAATAATAAAGAAGATTACGTAGGTCGGTAGTCAGCGGTATAATTGAATCAAAATAATGTAGAGGTATCGTGTTGTACGCGTGGCCAATCATAAGTCAGGTGAAGCTATCTCCTCTCCAGCGCAGCAGGGTGGTTTGGTGACTGCGCCGAGGGTACATCCCTATATAAAGAGTGTCATCCCTATACCAGGACGCTCATTCCAACAACAACCACCAACAGGCTACAACACAATACCTCAAGTAGATAGACTTTACTTTTTGAGGACTTGTTGATAGACTTTACTATTCTTTTTGAGGACTTTCTTTTCGATCTGCAACAATGGTGAGTCGCTATATTCTTCTCTCAATATCATTTCTTGTTACATTTGTTTATCTTTTTTAATTTAAAATTTATATCATTTCCCGAAGTTTATCTTCGTTTTTTCGATCAGCTTCGATATTTATGATGTAATAGGGAAGTTACCTTAAAGTATAAAAAAGATACATTTGTCTGATAATATTTAATATCTTCAACATTTTTTTTTATGTTTATTTATTCAATAATTGCCTTTGCTTAAATACAATTCGAAATTTTATTACTTTAAATTAATAAATATGTATATATATATGTATGCCTATATATATGTATATATGTATATATATGTATATATATATACATATATATATATATATACATATATATATATATATGTATATATATATATAGTGACTAGTTTATAGACTGTTTAGATCCGATTTCATGTCATTAAATATATGGATATGGGGGTGCGTGCGTACATGTCTCCAAGTAATTAATAATAGAAATTAAGCGTAACAAGATACATTTGCGTAGTTTACTGCTAAGCTTAAATATCATTTAATATATAGTTTTTATATATATATATTTTTTTTATAAACAATTTTTGTTACAACGAATTTCAATTATTTAACACAATATTCATTGATTATTGATTATTTGAATAATTTTGAATTTATCAAAAGTTATTTAATAAATGATAATAATAATTAATGTTCGTATGTATATTCAGTAAAGTTAGAGAGAATATATTGTTTTATTCATTATGAATAAGTTTTGATCGAATTATCAAAGTAGGTCCCAAGAGATCGCAACGATAGAAGAGAATACATACGCCTACGTCCATTTTGTATTTCGCTGGAAATAAAAGGATCTGTTATTATCAAATGAAGTAAAGAACTATGAAAAAAAGTAAATAGAAAAATATTTTTGATTGTGATAATTCGAAAAAAAACTATGAATTCATAACGAACATCGAGGAAAACCTTTTCTAACTTGTTCGAGAATTAAACTTTCATAAACTCGTGTAATAAATAAACGATCTCGTTTTTTCTTTTTTTTTTATCCTCGTTTTACTTGTCCTATAAACAAATTTAAAGTTTTAAACGTAATTTGCGATATGAAATATGGACGAGTAAAGTTAATACTATTAAATATGTAAAATGTTTCTATTACAGAGATCTCTTCTATCGACATACATATTAATCTGTATATGCTTCAAGTGTATAATATCTTCTTCGCTTGTAACCTCCCTTGATGGCGACAAATTAAATGAATTTGAGTACATTTTAAAAAGACAAAGAGTCGATAATTCTGAAGGACAAGATTCGAAAGAACGTCGAAGTGAAAAGGGACAGTCATTTATAAGATACGGCCGTAGCCAATCTGAGAACGGTATGGACACTGATACGGAAGAAGTGAAAGTTGATAGACATCCACGATGGAAATCGCCGGATATTGTTATTCGATTTGGTCGATCGGATATAAAAAATATTCATCCTGGTCGATTCTACGAAGAAGCAAACACTTTGAATATTATCAGGTAATAATTAATAATACACGAATTAGATATGTAAACGTGAAATATATGTTTGTCTTGACCGAACTTTATAATTTAAAAATGATAATTAATTTAAAAGATAAAGACAATAGAAAGAAAATTTGATGCTATTAAATAATTCGTTTATAATCTATCGATTTTTTAATATAATAATTTAATTATAATAATTTATAAATAAAATACTTTCTTTTTTCTTTTTTAACCAGGAACGAATTATACTCTATATGCTCGGATATGTTAGCGGCTGCAACGAGTGGTAACAAGGACGAACGATCTTACATACCAAGGATATTACGCTTTTGTAATACGATAGGAGAATGAATAAATTGAAGCATCTACGTACACACACACATAAATACATACATACATATATACATAAGTGCGGTACTATATATCGGCATTACACGACTTCTATGCAATTTTGCGGAAAAAACTCGAAAGAAATCATAACTAAACGAACTTATGATTTTTAATATAAACGATTAAATTAATTCAACATGATTATTTTGTTATTAATTTTCAAAAAGATTCAACAAATATCTTGTGATCGAATTGATTTATGTATAAGGTAATTATTTATTTGAAGAAGTTGCATCAATGAATATTTTCACCTATTTTATATAGAAATATTTTATATTTTTATATTTTTAATAGAAATTATTTTAAATATATTTCCTTGCTATTATAAAATAATAATTTAACATGTGTTATAAAATAAAAAAATATTTAACGTAATTGTTGTATTAAATGTATCCAATATGTATAAAGAGGTCTATTTCAATTGTCGCGCGTTTTCATTAACTCTCTGGTAGTATTGCCTAACCTTGATAGGAAGCGCTGATTGTACATTTTGGTCAACATGTAGTTGCTTTTAAAATATAAACTATTTAATATATTACTATTATTTATTTTGAATGAATTAGTCGTACTAAGTTAATATAGATTATTTTCTTTAATAAAACAATTGTATTTTACAATCCTAAATTCTGCGTGAATATAGGAAAGATCATTGACCAATCAGATCGCTTATAAAAATTCTTTTATCAAAATTTTCATATAACACGTTAAACGTGATACGTTAGTCTATGTTTGCTTCGATCAATGGTCAGAGCATGGTACTAGATTTTCGTGGCATAATAAACAATCGTAGCAAGTGGGTTCGAGAAAAAGACAGTGTATACTTATCGAGTTTTCGTATCATTAAATTTATTTTGGTTTTAGTAAAAATATAAATGAGTGATTAATTTTTAATAGATATATGTATATATGTACGTACATATATATCTATATATCTATATATCTATATATCTATATATATAAAAATAGCGTACAAGATGAATCCATCGATTTTTTGTAATCCTTTTAAGTACTGTTATAAAATAGTACTTGTTATTTGCTTTGCTACTAATTTCCATTGTTTATTTACGATTGTGCAGATGTGACTGTTAAACTTTTTCGTTTCCTTTTAAATCATTCAAAAGTATTTAAATTTTGTTCACAAAGAAATGTGTTCGTTAATGCATATATATAAAAATGTGTATTTTTTTAATATTTAAATATTACTAGCTAATTTATATATATATACATACATACATACATACATACATACATACATACATACATACACACACACATACACACACACACACACATACACACACACACACACATACACACACACATCCATATATACATACATACATACATACATACATATATTACGATAATCTTAATTTATAATATATATATATGTATATATATAATATATATACATATATATATATATTTATAAATATATATATAATATATAATATAAACATGTATATATATATATATATATATCTCTCGGTATAACTTGAACTGATTAACATACGGAATTATTATACTCGTGCTGTGAATTTAGAAATGGTTTTAAGTCGAAATGATAAGAGAAAAAGGAAGGAAGGTGATCTGGTTGATCTCATGGAGCCCGTTTCGGAATCGCCGAAAAGGTAAAATTAAAATATTCTTTTTTTTTTTTTTTTTTTTTTTTCCCTCGAATAAAAAGAGAACGATTTGTTATCTAGAAGTTGTATAACTGCTAAAAAAGAAAAAGTTTTTTTTTTTTATCTACTGCCAATCTAGTTTACATATGTTACATAGTATCATGAATATGATATGGAATATATTTGCATTATATTTATAATTAAACAGATAACAGTAATCAGTGTCTATATTTAAAATAAAATCATTCTAGATTTCAATCGAACGACAGCATTTACTGACAAGTGTTAAAAATATAAACTATATTTTTGCGTGTAATTTCATACTTCAAAAATAATATATCATTTGACGTATTAGAATTATATATACGTCATACATACATTATAGTAATAAAAGAGAAAATCATAAATTGAATTTTATCATAGTAAATACATTTTCTTAACGATCATTGTGTTTATAGTGAAATGTTTTCCTAAAGTGTTTATTATATAATAAACTATATGAAAGATTATTTATTATTCACGAAGAATTTTAAATCTTATAGTTCAACATCGTAAATTATAGGAAAATTTATAGTATTTAATAATCTTTTATTTCAGAGCTAAAGTTCATGCACAAAGGAAATTTGCACAAGGTGCAACAACAGTTTTTAATCTACCACCTACACCTATAAAGGATAAAGAGAAAGCTAAGCCTGCTGTTATAACAGAATTGATTACACATAAACGTCCTAATACAGAAGACTTTCTAACATTTTTGTGTTTTCGAGGTATTTTTATTATATTTTAAATAATATATCTTTGCTAAATAATATCTCATTACTAATTCTGAATAATTAATATTCATTTATAAACTAGATTCATTTTATAATTCTATTCAGGAACGTCACTTTTGCCACCAAGTCTGAATTTTTTTAATATTGGAACCAAAAAGGAAAAACAAACTCCTAAATTTTCATCTAATGTAGCAGGAAAGAATACATCTTCAACTACCCTAGTGACAGAACAAAAATCTGATTTATCGAATCAAAAAAATATTAATAAAGTAAAAGCTCTTGTAACAGAAAAAAAAGATGTGCCTAATGAAATTCAGAAAAATGTTAATAAATTTAAAACTACAGCGTGTACGGTTCAGGCACTGAAGAAAAAATATCAAGAACAACGTCTTGCAAAACAGAGAATTAAAAGGAAATTTAAAAGTTCTTGTATTATACGTACAAGATCGTGTTCAGAACGAACTGTATTGAAACCAGGAAGTACATTGACTTCTAATAAATTTCGTACTAAATTTGAGAGTAAAAGGCACAGCTTAAGAAGCAGTTCTCTCATAAATAAATCTAAAAAGGAATCTTCTAGAACCAAACCTGTTTTAGTAAAGCCAAAGAAAAAAATTATCATAAAAGAGAGAAATAGTGATACATCTAATCAAGATTCAATGAATGATGAAGAAGAGTTATCTTTAGAGAAATCAATTTCACATATGAAACGTGCAATGCAAAAACCAGTACAGAAAAGTATATGTACTAGAAGTAAAACGGAAATGCGAAGAGTAACTCGATCTCATAGTCAGCGAACATCTCCAAAAGATCTTTCGCGTAGACCCACGAGAAAGACTAAAGAAGCAGCAGCAGTTTACATGGAAATTCTTGGAAGAAAATTAGTGAGTCCTGATTTAGATAATGATGATAATCTTTCTGTTGAGAGTTTTCCAGAATTACCAAGTGCTCGTAAAATAAACCAAACAGAAAATGAAATTAAAACTAAAATCAAACAGCCTGGAAATAAACCTGCTGGAAAAACTAAAGATACAAGATCCATTGCTCCTACTAATATGACTAAACGTTCAGATAAAGATGTATCTAATAAAATTGCTCTTAAAAGTAAAAGATTAGTAAAAGCGCAAAAATATTCTGAAACGGAAAGTGATGAAGAGTCAGAGAAATCTGTTGAAACTAATAACGCAAGACCTATTACCAGACAAAGTTTAGGTAAATTAAACAAACCTATAAGTCGTAGTCTTAGGTCTTCTTCTAAAAATGTAGTTACAAAAGAGTCCCAAAATAATACAAACTCTAAAATAAAAAATCAAAATTTAGCGAAATCTAATAAAGATAAATTAACATTAAAACGTAAACGTAATCAAGTTGCTACTAAAGAATTAACAAATAAGCCAGATGAATCTAATCAAAAAGATATAAAAAAGAATAATAATGAAGAGAATTCTGGTTCGGATGAAGAAACATTAGGAATGATTTTAAATAAATTAAGAAAGAAGAAGACCTGCAGTAATGAAGACAAATTAAATATTAATACTCCTGAAAAAATTAAAGAAAGTAATGAATGCTGTACAAAGATGTGCGGTACTAAATTAGATATATCTAAAATATCAGATGATGAGGAATCATTTCGTGGATTTACTAAAAAAGCCATTTCAACGGTATTAAATTCATGTAATACACACGCAAACGCGAATCTTCTTGTCAACGAAGAAGAAGATGGTAATTCGTATGCAGTTAAAATACAAAATGCATCGCGTGATGAAAATTCATTACTGGTACAAAAAAATAATGTTTCAAGAAATAGTACTTCTTCGCCAATTACAACTATACAAGAGCAGGAAACAGCATCAGATTTACCTACTTCAGTTCAGTTGCAGATACCAATGTTACAGAAAACGAAAGAAAATCAATGTAATCATGAAACTATGCAATCTAAAAATATTGTTGATATACCTTTGTCGGCTTTGCACATGAGAAAAGAAAGGGTCAATATGTCTACTGAGCAAATTGAAAAGTGGCTAAATGAAAGTTCATTAGCCAAGGAAGAAAGTAAATTAGAAATGGAAAATATACCTAGTTTTAAATATAACGAACCTATTATTAATACAGATAAATTGAAAACAGATGTTTCACATTTATCTATACCGACCAAAATTCAACATTTAGTAAGACCTGTTAATGTAACACTTTCTAAATTAGTTGATAAAGCAAACTCAAAGGATCATCTAATACTACAGGAAAAACATACTTCTTCATTCTTATTGGATACTCAAATTATGGACCTTAAATATCAAAATATACAAAATAATAAGATTAAATTAGATAATAGTATGAAAGATGTCATTAAAGAAGATAATATTAAATTACATAAAGCTTCATCTTTTGGTGGATATAGTGGAAAAGTTATCAAATCAGATTTAACTTTAATAGAATCTACTATTAACAATTCTACAGAGAAGAAATCACAAGGAGAAAAAAAATCGATATTTCAGGCACGAAAAGGATTTTTACCTAAGATTAAGGAAAGAAAAGTTACAACTAATTCCAATGCATTTTCTCCTGAAAATGAGAGTAGTGTTTATGCATTTGAAAGTGATACTGAAGTACCTGTTAATACACCTTTCAGAAGAAAATTTCGTGATTGTACTAAGTCATCTGTAGATGTGAACATATCTGAACAAAAAATGTATGAAACAACAGACGAAGTTACGAAGAATCATCCTAATATATTAAAAGATCAAGATGAAGTTGTTAGCCCTAGTATAATTGCTACCACCACCACTGTCACTACTACTAATATCGTTAGTACTGTAACAAATAATACTGCTACAAATAATACTA